AAAAAATCTAAAATATAATTAGGATAATCATTGAGTTCTAATAGAATACTTAATTATTATCTTTATAAAATGTTATATTATTAAAGCAAAAATAAACTATTTCATTATTAAACTTAAATTAAATTATAATAAAAAATAAATTAAAGAAATTACATAAAATATGAAAACTTTTAAATAGTTGATTTGATATTAACATTGATATATTTTTTTTCAAATTTTTATGATATTTTCAAATTTATATTTTATTCAAAAATAAAATCATTATTGTTTTCTTAAAAACACATAAAATCGTATTATAACATCTACAAAGACATATAATATTAAAATCGATATGTGTCTCGCTGCATTGCGCGAATACTCTTCTACTATATATATATATATATATATAGAGAGAGAGAGAGAGAGAGAGAGAGAGGGGGAGGGGGATAGCACATGTGAATTTTCAACGTGACTCTCTCTTGTAAAAAACTCATGCTGTATCTGTGTGTATATATGTGTGTGTATATATATACACACACTAATTAATTAATAGAGGAAAAATTATGCAAAAAGTTAAATATTTTACAAGAAGATGAGAAGTTTCAATATCATATATGATTACACTTTTTTGAGTGTATTTAATCATATATGATTAAACATGCCTGTGTTGTCAGTGTAACATGTGTCTAATCATATACAATTTTGCTTATGTATTAGTATATAATCATATATGATATTGAAACTCTCGCAAATCTCGCAAAATGTTTAGCCCCTTAATTAGTAGGCGAAAGATCGTGTGAGAAGGGAAGTTATAATGAGAAGCGTAAGAAGAGATCAAAACCCTTGGTCACTTTTAAATCTAATGCCCGCCTATGAATTGCGTTTTAGAAGAGAATTGATCCGATGCATCTTGGTACACCTCATTAGTGTTAACATTCAATTATGATTGATTCAATGACAGAAATATCTTTTTACGTTTCTCACAATAACTTCTCTTCTCACCGGAATAAAACCCTAAGTACACTATATATATATATATATATATATATATACATACATACATACATACTTGGGATCATGTGAGACCAAAGGTTTTCCGTGAGACCCGTAAGATCAATTCTTAACCATTGTATTAGATCTACAATCTGAACATTCATAATCATAAAATTGCCACGAGACTTCTCAATAATCACAAAATTGCCACCGTGCAACTTTAGACCATTAGATTATAAAGTTGATCAATAAATATAAATTTATCTTACAGTTTTCATGAAAAACCTTTGGTCTCATGTGAACCCAACTATATATATATATATATATATATATGTAAATTCTATTTTGCCTTTTTAATCCCTTCACGTTCCAATTTTCGTGGTCCTCAAACCATACCATGTTAATGTGGACATTATTTGTTTTCCAAATGGGTGAGGAATGGAAGAGTTGACTTCAATACCCTCTCAGCCTCTCGACTTTTAGATCAAGATTTGGTTCTCTCTTCCCTTATAAAACCACACCCAATTGACACCATCGATCAAACACCCCATCTCCTCCACCACCATGGCATCCCCACTCACCTGCTCCGCCGTCGACCTAACCCCTCTCCTCGGCCTCGCCGCCAACGCCACCGCTGCTGCCGACTACATATGCAGCCGCTTCACCGCCGCCGATGACCAATTCACCAACACCGCATACGCCATCAACAACACCTACCTCCTCTTCTCCGCCTACCTCGTGTTCGCCATGCAGCTCGGGTTCGCCATGCTCTGCGCAGGCTCGGTCCGCGCCAAGAACACCATGAACATCATGCTCACCAACGTTTTGGACGCTGCCGCTGGCGGCATCTCGTATTACATATTCGGCTTTGCTTTCGCCTTCGGTGTACCTTCCAACGGATTCATCGGAAAACATAACTTCGGGCTGAAATCGATCCCGTCCGAGGTTTACGACTATAGTTTCTTTCTGTACCAGTGGGCATTCGCCATAGCAGCTGCGGGTATCACCAGTGGCTCCATTGCTGAAAGAACTCAGTTTGTGGCATACCTTATTTACTCTTCCTTCTTGACAGGTCTCCTTATCTCTTCTTCTGTTTTCTTTAAATTTATTTACCACAAAAACACCATTTTTGGTCAAAAATGACGCCCAAAATATGTTATTTAATGATATATTTTTTATTAAGTTGTTTATCTAAACACTCAAAAATGCTTATTATCGATGTCACACTAGAATAAGTCAATAAATTGTATTTATAAGCAATCCCAAAAACCCATATTGAATATTTGTTTTTATTAGAATCTCAGTGAACATTCATCGATCTCTTCACGAGGTTTCATATATTCTCACAGTTCTGTGTTTTTTTACTTGTTTTGTTGTCGGTGTTTTAGGTTTTTTTTTTCCATCTCGCAAAAAACCTTTGATGACTTTTATTTGTTGTCTTTAAAATAATATAATTAGTAGTGTTATTTTAAACGAAATATTCTTGAGAGAAATACCATTTTTAGAGATTTTTATTTTTAATTTAATTTTAAATATATTTAAAGAATATTTCGAAGATTAGTTTTGGTAAATTATTTCCAGCACATCGTTGTAGACCCATTCAATGATTGTATAATCTCGGACAAGTAGATATTTGAATATGTATTATATATATATAGAGAGAGAGAGAGAGAGTGGAGATTAATTATTATACAACCCTTTACATTTGTACAACTAATACAACTCAATCTCAACTCTTTGTTTAATTTGATAAATATGTAATTTCATATAAATTTTGATTGTTTCCTAATATAAGGTATTTATCATAATTAATGAACTTTATTCATCTTGCATAAATATTTAAAAAATAATAAATGAACTCTAATTATTTTCGTAAATATATCAATTTATTGGGTTACATTATTTTTACAAATATGATGGGTTGCATTTGAAACAAACTATTTATCTCTCTCTCTCTCTCTCTCTCTCTCTCTCTCTATATATATATATATATAGTATGAGGTAGGTTATTATACAACTCCTTACATTTGTACAACCAATAAAACTCAATCTCAATCGTCCATTTAATTTGACGAATATGTAATTTTATAAAAGTTTTGATTGTTTCTTAATATAAAGTATTGATCATAATTAATGAACCATATTCATCTTGCATAAATATTCAAATCATAATAAATGAACTCTCATCATGTCCATAAATATCTCAATTTATTGGATTGCATTGGTTATACAAATACGATGTTTTATATTTGAAACAAACTCTCTCTCTTTATATATATATATATATATATATATATATATATATATATATAGACTTGGGATCATGTGAGACCAAAGGTTTTTCATGAGACCCGTAAGACCAATTCTCAACCCTTGGATTAGATCTACAATTGTCAGATTTGAACATTCATAAATGCCACAAGACTTCTCAATAATTACAAAATTGCCACCGTGCAACTTTAGACCATTATATCATTAGATTATAAAGTTGATCAATGAACATAAATTGGTCTTACGGGTCTCACGAAAAACCCTTGGTCTCACCGGAACCCAACCCTATATATATATATATATATATATATATATATATATAAGACCAAAAAATGTTGATGGTGACATTAATAATTGTATTAGCAATTATTAATTAGAATGGTCGTTGGCAATTATCAAAACCTATAATTTCTTATTTTGATTGGTCACATCTCAATATTTTAACAGTGGATACCCTTAACAGATTCATTTACATGGTTTCCAGGTTTTGTGTATCCTATAGTGTCACATTGGGTGTGGTCTACTGATGGTTGGGCCAGTGCCTCACGAACCAGCGGCAGTCTCTTGTTTGGGTCAGGAGCCATTGACTTTGCTGGCTCCGGTGTGGTCCACATGGTGGGTGGGATCGCGGGTCTTTGGGGTGCATTAATTGAAGGACCAAGACTTGGTCGTTTTGATCGTTCTGGTAGGTCCGTCGCCTTACGAGGCCACAGTGGCTCCCTTGTCGTTTTGGGTACATTCCTTCTATGGTTTGGTTGGTATGGTTTCAATCCCGGTTCTTTCATCACCATCTCAAAATCGTATAATACTTCGGATACTTTTTATGGCCAATGGAGCGCTGTTGGGAGGACAGCCGTCACCACCACGTTGGCTGGGTGCACTGCCGGACTCACCACTTTGTTTAGTAAACGACTACTAGTCGGTCACTGGAATGTGACTGACGTTTGTAATGGCTTGCTAGGAGGTCTAGCCGCCATTACCTCGGGATGTGCAGTGGTCGAGCCGTGGGCTGCAATCGTTTGTGGCTTTGTCGCGGCTTGGGTTCTCATAGGATTTAACAAGCTTGCGGAAAAGCTGAAGTACGACGACCCGCTAGAGGCGGCACAATTACACGGTGGGTGCGGGTCGTGGGGATTATTGTTCACAGGGTTGTTCGCCGAGAAACAATATGTCCATGAGGTTTATGGCCTTGGGCGGCCTTATGGGCTTTTTATGGGCGGTGGTGGGAAGTTATTCGCAGCTCAGATCATCCAAATATTGGTGATCATTGGGTGGGTCAGCGCGACCATGGGCCCGCTTTTCTATGCCTTGAAAAAACTCAAGTTGTTGAGGGTGTCAAAAGAAGACGAAATGGCAGGAATGGACATGACTAGGCATGGTGGATTTGCGTATGTTTATCACGACGAAGATACTAGTTCGCACCCGCCACCAGGGTTCATGATGAGAAGGATCGAACCATCAGGTGCAAGTCCAGCACCAAACAATGACTCAACAACCAACGTCGTGTAGTTGGGCCCTCTTTTTTCAGGTTTTTGTTACAATATATGAACTTTTGTGTCGTTTAAGAATGGTATATATTAGAACACGATCAACAACTTCAACATGGGAAGAAGAACATACCTAACCGGTTACAATCGTGTAGATTGGTCAGCGAAGGTGTTGCGTTTGTGAATCGGGATGAAGTAAATAGCCCATCAACTGAAGACATATGTGGTCGTTCTACTGATGATGGTGTGTTTGATGGTAAAGATGTTTATAAGTTAAACTTGCTACGTTATCGTGTTTCTTTACTCTTGGTTTAATTGTCATATTAAGATACTATATGTGAATAACATGTAAAAATATAATTTATTTATGTTTTGTTTTATACATTAACTTCCGGGTACTTTTGGATGTTTAGTTGTGCATTTTAAAAGAAACTAGAAGGGTACTTGCACAATGCAACGAGATACATCTCGATTTTAATGTTTCGTTTCTTTTTGTGTCGGACAATGTTATAAGAAATTGAAAAAAAAAAACTATAGATATTAGTACCAAAATGACTTCAAAATTTCTCATTTTTTGTGTATTTCTTTAATTTTGTTTGTTTAATAATATAATTTTTTATAAAGATAATAATTGAGTATTTTGTTATAACTCAATGATTATCCTAGTTATATTTTAAATTTTTTATATTTAAAATGAGATATTTATCATCTATTTGATTATGTTTATATGTAGTTAGTTACACGAATTCAAACATTAAGCTTTAATAAGTTGTATTTACACAAAATTACTTGTAATCTTAAATTTTAAGTAATATACATCAATAAACAGTACTTCATGCATAAAAAAATGGGTTTTAAGAGTTTTTGTCAAATGCTTTATAATATAGTATAGATTATATGATATTGAACAATTAAAATTAAATAATTGGTTAAAAAAAATTTGAAAAGATACAAGTATTTTAAAAAGAGCAGATAAAAATTTGCTTTCCTAAAATCACATTTCTAATTTTCTAACTATCGAAATGAAGACAAATCAAATTTATTTTATCTGATAATATGTATTTATGTGATTGACGGAGATAAATGAGACGTCAGATTTTGAGACAGATTATTTTTTATATAAAAATATAATCTTGAAATATATTTCAAATTAAAAATTGCAAATATTTTTCATATTAAAAAAGGAATATTTTCCGTTTGATACATTCAACACATTAAATTTTGGATCTTTATAGTTTTCTTGGTTCATTTAATTTTGGAGTCAACTTTATGCTTTTATTCATTGAATGTCTTGACATCATCATACGACTATAACAATTATGAGTTGTTTTATTCGACCACTTTTTCTCTAATGAAACAACGTTGCTTATATATTTGTTTATTTTTTTTTATTAACCTGAATATCTAATCCATCATGCGATCCAACTAAATCCATGGCGACCATCTGCTTTGCAAATAGCTTGGAGTCATCGCATTTGAACATCCGTGGCCATAATGAGATTTTTATTCCTCATTGGACTTGAACCTGAGACCTCCTTGTACTTTTGACGTTTGGAGTCAAGCTCAAACCAATTAGGCACCACCCTTGTGGTTAAACAACGTTGTTTATTGTAATCAATATTAAGGATCAGGTTAATGGAAAAAACACAAAAAATAAAAAAATTGAGTAACACATTAATAACTATTCATTTGTATCATATACCGTATGTACATGTGCATAACTAGTACATAGAAATCAGGAAACGTCTTTGTCTTTAATTACCTGTATGTACATGCACATATTGTACAAATGAATGGTTATAATGATGTTCCTCAGTTTTTTCATTTTTAAAGAGTTTTTTTCTTTTGAACCTCTCTCTCTCTCTCTCTCTCTCTCTTTATATATATATATATATATATATGCCTAATCAAATGAGAACTAATTAGTTTGTAGTAACTGTGAGATCTATCGTGAGCCAATCATTTATGATAATTAATATTTTTTTTAAAATAAAATAGAAGAGTAAATTAGTATTTTGGGTTGATTATTCAATTTACTATAGTTAGTTTAATATTCCAATTTACTTTAATTACTTTATTATACACACACACAAAAACAGATTAATTACTTTAATTACTTTAATTACTTTATTTACTTTAATTACTTTAATTACTTTATTATTCAATTTACTATAGTTAGTTTAATGAGATTAATTACTTTATTATACACACACACACACATACACACAAAAACAGAGACACACAGGGACCAACAATCGGTAGCCTCCTCCTGCAAGTGATGACCTCCTCCGGTCATCTTGTCCGACCAAGACGTTGTTTCCGACGACCATCTCCCTTCCTCCATCCCTGCTACTGACCACCATCTACATCTACACACCTATATACAACATAGGTACCATAGTGATACTATAGTTAGTATCACAATGTTACCACAATTATTATCATAGTGGTCTCAAAGTTTACTTGGTGTGTTTTGGATATCATATTGTATGTATTTTGGGTATCAAATTGTGTATATTGGTGTGTTTTGGGTATCACATGGTGTTCGGCGAAATAAGATTTATCGGAGGCCGGAAGCAGGAGAGAGAGAAAGAGGAGAGATAAAAGAATTTAAATACCTAAAATGCCTTATAATTAAAAATTTAAGTCAAATTACTAAAAATACTAGTTTCCTAATTTATCCATTGATTTGTGGTTGAGATTGAATCTCACAATTATCACAAACTAACCAGTTTTCTTTGAATGGACCCCTATATATATATATATATATATATATATATATATATATATATATATATACT